TTGGAAAATGAAGTTAATCTCATTCATTGAACACAATACAAGTTGAACAAATGAACATGTAAGGTAAGGAATAACAAAGATAAAACATGGTAACTATATGTCATAGATTTATAGATATTTATTGAAACTACTGCTATTACAATTGTAAGATATTTAAAAACAATAGTGATTTAAAGTACAAGACAAAAACAACAGAAATTTGAATGAAGTAGATTGGGTTACGCATCTGGATTCATTGGACGTCGGAAATCTAAAACTAAGCTTTTTGTATCTTCAGCGTTTCTTGACGTATTAAGTTGGTGCATAATTATCAGGCTTTTTTGTAGGCGAGTTATTTGTTAATAAAAATTGCAGTTTTGTTTACATTTTTTTAATAAAAATATTATTTTATTTTCAGCTTATAAAAATGCCTGTTGATAATCAGAATAATCATATAAAAATGTTATTGTTGAATTGTTGTTTCTTTTTTCATAATAAATATTGTTTAAAAAATACCTGATAATTATGCACCAACCCAATAAAAATGTAACCGCTGTTTATTGTATTTCTCTACCACCACTATAGTGATTTTCCAAGCGTAGCTTAGATGTGGCACAAGGCCAAAAGCATGGGACACCCAGTGAGGATGGAACTCACTACTCAGTCGTAATTGATCTAACCATTACACCCCCACTCATTATACATGTTGAATTATTCATTTTTTCTATGTCATTTAAACAGATATATAGATCTGTATTTTTTAATATATTTTCTGTTTATATGTTGTTTTTTATAGCTAAAAAATTTAAATAAATGCTCTGTTTGTAATAATCAATATTAACCGGTTTCAATGTTCGAGAAATTTCATTGAAAGTATGTGTCCTCCGACAGAAATCGAACCTGTATCCTACATGGAACCGTCATATAGGCTGACGTGCTATACCATTTAGCTATAGACGAAGCGTCTGGTTCGCAAGGTCAAATTACTGTTTTAAAACTACAAATTTCTCATGATTTCTCTCGAACGCTTATATCTGCTGGAAACGTATCGTAACGTAAACAAAAGTTGTCATATATTATGAAAATGGACTAAGTCCATTTTCATATATTTTTTATTTTTAACATTTTTCTATGGAATTTCTCGGATATTCAGGCGGGTAAATGTTCATCGCAGTACCTTGTCAGTCGTCGTTAATGAAACTTGTATTAAAAGTGGGATAGCTGACTAAATACACGGTGTACCTGGAAAATTTGGTGCCCGGAAAATTCAGTAACTGAAGTTTCGGTCACGAAAGATTCGTTAATTTTGACAAGGTAGGAAAATTCGGTAATTATCAAATAAAATTTGATTGGAAATTGATTTTAGGGTCGTTCTGGGTTAGGCATTTGGGGACAAAAGACTCCTCCCCTATATTTTTTAAATAGAAATGGATATATAGTTTTGCTTCTTTAAAAGGAAATAACTATTTAAAACTTAATGTACTTGCTACTTTTTTTTATTAATATAATAATTTGAAAAGATGATACAAGAACTTAAATTTAACTTAGATAAATCGATTTTATTTGCTTGAAAACAACAGAGTATAGTAATTAAATAAATACTTATTTAAACATGTTTATTTAAGAAGACCCCCCTCCCATCCAGAAAGTACGAAACTGGTATTGTTGCAGTGAGGTTTTATCTGGATTGGAACCCATTATTTTTTTTTAGTTAAACGTATTGAGGCGTGGCGGGGGGTTTAGCCCCTCCGAGAAAGTACGGCCATGGTATTGTTGTAGCGGGTTTATGTAGACTCCTATAGTTAATAATACTTTAAAAAATATTGTGATGTCTAGCCCCTTAAGCCCCGCTTCGGCAATTGAGGTCCTGGTCTTGTAATGGGGTTTTATCTGGACTCCGCGATTTTCAGTTATTTTAAACTATAGGGGAGGTAGCTTAGCCCCCAAATCTCCACTCCAGAACGGCCCTAAAATCAATTTTCAATCGACTTTTATTTCATAGTTCCGGAATTTTCCTACCTTGTCAAAAATAACGAATTTTCCATTACCGAATCTTGTAAGTGTATATGTAAGTTTATAATGATTCTAGTTTTGTCCATATTGGATTCAAATGATGATTTTGTAAGTGTATATGTCAGTGTATATGTAAGTGTGAAATGATTCTAGTTTTTTCTATGTTGGATTCAAATGAGGTTTTGTAAGTGTATATGTTAGTGTATATGTAAGTGTATAATGATTGTAGTTTTGTCTATGATTGATTCAAATAATGGTTTAATGTATAATATATTTCTAGGTAAAAGTGCTTCATATCAGAGATAGAGCGTATGTAAATATAAAAGTGGAAACTGAGGTCAACACCAAGCTGTTTGTTGCTGACCTCAGTGTCCACCTTTATATTTATATATATGAGTTGTGATCAAATGCACATCAAATATGGATCGGTATCCGAAGTACTATCATCTGAATCCCGCATAGACAAACTAGAATTTTTATACACTTACGTACATAAAGCAATATTTAGTTTTTTAGTCAGGCTTGGAATTCGTTAATTTCTTGAAACTTCGAAAGGACGCGTTGTCTTTGCCTCAATTCGGATTTCCATAAATTATACTAACGTTTGTTTAACAAATCGAATGCATCGGAAACCTGATTAACCTAAGAAACGCGTCACTAAGAAGATGACTATTTCCTAGACTAGTTGCCATCCAAGGCTAGAGTGGATAGTCTACTCTGGTATTTTACTAATATATAGAAGAAAAAGAAGAGATAGTTTTATGCATTTTCCCAGAGCACAAATAGGTAAACTGTACCTATAGCATAATAATGTTTTTTCTCTTCGGACTTCTATACTCATCTTGATTATTACACTCCCAACGTTTTTTTTTTTTTTTTATTTGTAACCTCCGATATTTTTCAGGTGTCTGTCTTTGGTAAGCTTATTTGAATTTCTAACTGAACCTTTTCTTCGACTGAGCCAGAATATCTGTCTTTTCAGCCCTACCAGAGCCAGTGGCTGAAATCACAGCAGCCATGGAAGCCGGTATGTTTTAAAAGTATTATAACACACGCCTGTCCTTTGTGTATTTTGTTTGTTCATCTTGGTTGTTATACGTACAATGTTTCAACCGTTGTCATCCACAAGTGTTCGTCGTTTTACAATGTAACCATCTCGCAATTTTGAGTCGAACCCTTTATTCAATTCACGACTGTAGATTGTTCTCATTTCTTTTTCTAATAAATTTCTGAAAATAAACGACATCCGACAGCAACGCCTCTGACCGGAAGATTGCAGGTTTTGAGGAACATGGGACCACGTCTTAATTACTGTTGTTTCCAGGTTCATCCTCACCTGCGGTAGTGGCACTGTGGATATTTACCACATTCTTGGTATTTATCGGAATTTCGGAAACAAAACGACTGGAGCAAGGGTATAAAGTATAGTATAATCAAATATATTTTTTATTTATTTGCTTTAGAATGAGTCCTTAGATATTCGATGTAACAAAATGTTCGTTTATAAGTTGGATATTGGTAACAGTCTGGAGAAATGTCCGTTTCGACTCGGTAGTGAGTGTTTCGGATTAAGACCGTACTAGTGGTTGTAGTCATTTTAGAAATAGGTTAGTGTCAGTCTTTGGCTGATTTTTCTAGCGGTAGCGTCCTTTGTTCCGTCTTTTGCCGTCATACTCCACGTTGTCAGGGTCAGTTTATAACCTTTTTGACGGGGTTCCAGACTTAGTGGCGTGAAGCAGTTTCGGCTAACATCACAAGACTCTTCGTGTTAATCTTTTGATAGGTGAAAAAGATTTTATTTTCCGGCGTTTCTTTCTTTTTCATTTTTTTTTTTTTTTATAAATCGGAATTTATGCGTGGAATCTCCTGATTTTTGGTAGTTTTTAGTCACATATTAGAGTCTGGTCCCGCGAACTTACAACGTTTTTCAGCCGGGCTGAGTCTTTTCTTCTTCCTCCTCTTTTTATTTGAGGGTTGCCTTCTCGTTAGTTGAAAAAGAAGTATAGAAAGAGAAGTTTACAAAGAGAGAGAGAGAAAGAGAGAGAGAGATAAAGAAAGAGATAAGGGTTTTAAAGAAAAGTGCAAATGTCTTATTTTAATTTCAATTCTTTTTATTATTATTCTTCCTCTTTTTATTTGAGCGTTGCCCTCTCGTTAGTTGAGAGAGAAGAATATATACAAATACCTTCAACGAGAGACAGACAGACAGACACAGAGAGAGAGAGAAGTTGAGAGATAGAGAAAGAAAGATATAAGGGTTTTAAAGTAAAGTGCAAATGCCTTATTTTAATTTCAATTCTTTTTATTCTTCTTCTTTTTATTTGAGGTTTGCCCTCTCGTTAGTTGAGAGAGAAGTGTATATAGAGAGACCTTCAGAGAGAGAGAGAGAGAGAGAGAGAGAGAGAGAGAGAGAGAGAGAGAGAGAGAAAGAAAGAAGTTGAGAGATAGAGAAATTGAGAGATAGAGAAAGAAAGATATAAGGGTTTTAAAGGAAAACGCAAAAGCCTTATTTTAATTTCAATTCCTTTTATTTTATTTCTATATTTTGTTTTTATATTTTATTTTATTTTTATCGGGACTCACTACAGCACCTGTTAGGGTCCCAACTATGGGTAAATAGTGAAACCTCCAAACAAAACACTTTGAAAGTATAAAAATATATATTTTATAGTAAAAATACCAGCAATACATTATTTTATATAAAAATTACGAACAATACAGTTATAGCAAAATGGCCAACAATACATTTTATCTGTAATTGAATGCATACAATTACGTTCAAAATACATTTAGTTGAAGCCATCAAATGGTGTTCAAAATATTTAGATTTCGGCATTAAATAACCCATAGAAGTGTAGATATGCCGCTAAACAAAATAAACCAAATCATTTCTTTTTCATTGCTATGGGAAGATAACTCGTATCGGTCAATTTTACCCAGTCTTACTTTCGTTTCTTCTATTGTATGTGTCTTTTCAACACTATCAGAGACTTAATTCACAATTGGCTTACGACTACATCACATTGAAACACCGGTTCCCGTACGATCACCGAAGTTAAACAACGTCGAACCTGGTCAGTAATGAGTTGAGTGACCCCTTGGGAAGGTGCTGTAAGCGTTGATGTGCGGGTGGTGTAATGTATAGTTGTTAATCGGAGAGCCGAGTTTCAATTCTTGCTGGTTTCGTCTTATTCACTTACGTGCAAATGTCTTTAAGTATGAATCTGCCTTTTCTCTCCCCCAGCTATGGGTTAATTAGTAAGACTCCTATAACTAAACCATTATTCTTACAATCTAAAATATTTCATGGTTTTAAATAACTTGCAGCGGGTTGATAAACCGTAGAAAAAGACTCAATCAATGGAATCACAAATACCAGGGAACCAAGGAAATTTAAGCATGGAAAAGGGAATAAATGAGGGATTCTGTTCGAAATTCCAAGAAATTTACCGAAGACTGACAACTGAAGAAGGTCGGAATGAACAACGGTCGAAACGTTGTAAGTATAACAACCAAGATGAGCATGTTGGTCCGAATAACAACACAGATAATAATAATCATTTCTTATCTAACAAATTCCGGCAAAAATCACAGCACATTTAAAAAATGGACCTTGAGTTTAAAGTTTTTATTTTTCTATTATTATATTATTTTTTGTTACTTTTAGAATCGGAATCTTACAGCTGAAGAGCCCAGCGGGAAATCCTAAACCAATTTGAAATCCCCAACACTCTGATCAGTTTGATATTTTTTAAAAGCCGATAGGAAAATCCCTTACAAAAAAAATCCGAGACGCTGCATTTCGTCTAACAACAAAAATTATACTTTTGTGGTCCCATACTTTGTGATTATTTTTACCAACCCCAACCGCAACCCACTGCCATGGAATAGAACGAGCAAGGTCAGAAGGCAGAAAATTCAGGTCATCAACCTTGTCGATTTCCTCTGCCACTCTCCCCCAGCCAGCGTCCACATGCTTTCTTATCTACAAGAACAGGAAACGAAGTAATGTCAACTTTCAAAATGCAAGCACTACGCGATTTAATAAGATTTACACTAAACTTGACACGTGCAAGTGTTTAGACGTACGGAGAGAGATGTAAAATGTAGGTGGGGAGAGGGAACGGCATGTAGAAGAGTTGTCGTGCCTCACCCGGTTACAGAAATGATTCATTAACTGCTTCAAATATGAATGAGATCGAGCTTATAAGCGAGAATTTAGGCATCTAACATCGTTTGAGAAATAGGTCCATATTGACAGAACTTGACTGAGAAATAGCTCTATAATACAGTTAATAGCATTAAGATAAAATGCTTGAGAAATAGGTCCGTACCATTGGAATACCACTGAGACGGCATGTCTGGGAAATAGTTTCATAATACTGGGAATACCATTGAGCGAAAATGACTTAGGAATAATCCCATAATATTGGGAATACCATTGACAAGACATTTTTGATAGGTCCGTACTACTGAGAATACCATTGAGAAAATATGTCTGAGAACTAGCCCGTTAATGATGTGAATGCTATTGACAGAACATGTCGGAGAAATAAGTCTGTAATACTGGGAATACCATTGACAGACCATGCGAGCGACGAGAATATTTTAAGGTGAATTGGAACTAGAAAAAAGATAGCGGCTAACAATAAGGAATATAGGCAGCAGAAATGTCGATGACACACATAACGAAGGAAGGGATTTAGGCGAATTTAACACCCACACATTGAAGGCAAGAGAAGTCGGGAGAAACAGTGAGTAACACGCTTAGCGAGTTTGAGGGAATATAGATCAGTGCAAAAGAGTCACGAAAGAGAAAATTGTCGAGTTCTATGATCGGGCCACGTTCTGAACGGACATAGTAGAGAAAAGAAGAAGACCACTTAATGGTGCCCTGAAGCAAGTGAACTTGTGTGTGTCCTGCGTGAAGCATTCTCACGCAGGTGAATATCAGCAGCAGTCGCATTAAATATCAAGAAAAAAAGAAAAGAAAAAAGAGAACTACAAAAAAAAGGAACAATAAAAAAACAGTATTTGTGTCTGAGATGATTTGGTTATTTACTTTTAAAATGTATTCGTAATCACACACACACACGTATGTGTTCGGCAATTCAATAACATATATATATATATATATATATATATATATATATATATATATATATATATATATATATATAAGGACCTGAAAGGAGCTCAAAGAAAGAATTTGAATGTTTTGTTCACATTTTAGAAACTTTTAATCACCCATTCATTCATTATATATATATATATATATATATATATATATATATATATATATTATTAGAATTGCCTGAAAGGAGCTCAAAGAAAGAATTTGAATGTTTGGTCACATTTTAGAAACTTTTAATCACCCATTCATATATATATATATATATATATATATATATATATATATATATATATATATATATATATGTGTGTGTGTGTGTGTGTGTGTGTGTGTGTGTGTGTTATTAGAATTGCCGAAAACGCTCGGACCTGCAGAACATTCGGACAATGCCACTATGCACATATTTCTGCGTTTCTTTAAACAGACTATGACATATAAAAACACTCGATTCCTTCATGGCAGGTTCACCAAAAGCCACTTTTCATAGAGCTAACGACTCACGAACACTTTTACAAATGTTCATGCCAGAATTGATATAATTCGAACACATACAACTTCGTCTACTCCTTGGCAACGAGTAACTTGTCTGCGTTTCAAGATAGTTGGAATATGTTCGAACGTGATCAGGTATAAATGTTTGCCCGACTCATTACCCCAGCGACACGATGCAGTTATTCTGAGAATTAAATTGTCACATATTCGTACAGTCATGAACTCTTAATTCCTTTAATAACGGGTCTAACCATCACATAGAAAGGATGGGAACGTAAAATTCTTTTTTCAGCTTTTCGCTATTAGACAATCCCAAATGACGTAACGATTTTCATTGTTCACTGTGTACCTTTTTAAGCAACTTGGGAGTGTGTTCTTTTCTACTAAAATATTTGTCAGTCGAGTGAACATTGTTGCGGTCCCGTGTTTACTGTGCTATCCGATTGCACAACTGTAAGTTAAGAAACAAAACTTCTGGATTGAGATGAGAAATTTACCAGAAAGGTCAAAAAATTATTTCCTTAATAATTTCACTTATATTGATAAAACTATGACCTTAATACTTGATGTCATGTTTTCCGCTCGTCGCATTTCCGGTCAATTGAAGAAAGTCAAAAACAAAATATTCTTTGGCTATTGTCCTATAAACGGAAACGCTGACAGAATGAGGAGATTTGCCTTTACGCTGAAGCGAGGGTTTATTTATTTGCCGACTCTACGTAGCACTAAGTCATCTATTTAAGGTGTGCAAATTTTCCTTATACTTGTCATCGGGTCACTTCTTTAGAAGAGGTTGGGAATTTGAACAATAACTCCTCGATTTTACAAACTAGTGATTGAATACACAGTAGAAATCACTGTAGAGATTTTATTCAGACGTTAGGAAATTTTACATGCAGTTTATATGTTTCCAACACATATGTGAGTGGCGCATCGGCCCGGAAAGTGTAATCGGCGAATCCAGCACAAATTCCATTTCGATTTGTATCATTCACTTTGCACTAATGCCGTCCTCCTCTCAGCTATGGCAACCAAGCCTACCGATCACAATATATCCTTGTATTTAAGGATATATTGTGATCGGTAGGCTTGGTTGCCAGCCAATTTTTGAGGAGAACCACGAAGAAAGTAGAAAGAAACCACTCCACTAACTTTCCTAAAAAATCATGACAATTCATAAATAATAAATTAAACGTCATCTACGGAAAAAAAATGCCTACGTTCTGAATGAAACTAGGATTTACAGCAACGTGCGAAAAGTATTTCCTATAATATAAATAAATAAAAACTTTCGGGATAAAATGACACTCAGTCGGAAGGTTACAAAATCCCTTTATGGACGAATATAGTCAAGCCATATTCTAGATAAGGGCAGACAAGGTTAGAACAAGAAGAAGATGTAGAGTCAGAGGGAGACGGAGTTCCTGCTGGCCTAAATGAAGATTTAGTCCGTTAGTCTGTCGTGAGAGAACACAGAAATCGCAGCGAAGATGTCTCAAGTGTAACTTGCCTACTCCTAGACAGTGCCAGACGAACTGATCCAAGAATAAAGAACCCTGTTTGTCGAAACTAACAGATTTTCTCACCATGGCGATATTTCGAGAAACCATATTGAAGACTTATTTCCCTGTGCAAAATCTCGCCTACATTTTTTTTTAGTCTATACCAGGCATTTCCCAATTTTGTTCATGCCGTCGTAATTCTTGGAATTCATTTCCAGGAATGCCTTTCAATAATATATTCACGTGTTGCTGGATGTGAAGGATGTCAGCAAATCATTGTGCTTTCAGGCCATTTTTTTAATTTTTGAAATATTTCAAAATCTTAGAAGGCCAAGTCTTGTGAATGAGATGGAGGGCCCATTTATAAAATGGATTTCTTAGCCTCATGAACTCCTGACGCATTATTTTTTTCCTCAAATCCTGTTAGAATCAGACACAGTTTTATATTCAGTTCTCCTCTTAACAGACTCACACTTAATATTATATTTGTGTGGAGTAGAATCTGTGTTGGGTAGAAATTGCTAGTCAGTGAGAAACAGTCGAGGCGGCCGGTTGTAAGTTCATATTGGCGGTATCTACTCGTTCCAGCACTTTTGGTCTTGCTATTGAACCTACATCTAGACAGTGGGTGGTTGTTTTAAAGATCTCGCATCACGATTTTACTTGTGACATAGGTCGCTCTAAGTTTAGAGAAAATTATTTAAAGTTCATTTGACTGCATGGGTGTCCCCTATCCCATCGATTCATTGTACTCAATGATAACAGTTTTCGCTTTTGAGGCGTTAAAATTAACAATCCATTTCTTGCCTTAGTTAACAAAATATTGGAGGTCATTTTCGAGAGCAGCTGCCAGTTTTACTTTTTCATGATAGAGACATGCTGGAGTAATGGATTGCGGCTTGGATTGAGGAATCGAGGGTCGAGTTCGAATTTCAGTCAATTTCATTATATTCATTTACGGGGAAAGGTATAAATCTATCTGTTC